CAGCTGATGCGTATCGCGAACCCAAACACCTTTGCCCAAACGGAAGCCCCACTGATTTCTCTGGGACTAATTTTAAGTCATCACGTATCAGACTGCAGTCCTGTGGCCAATGTCCACACGCGTATGCCTCCGAGATCCTGCCTCCTAGGTTCAGTGGGGCACATCCATAGGATTCATCTTTTATTAAGCGAGGGCCTCTCACCTCAATTTCTGATTTCATATTTATTGCATTCTGGAGAAATGCAGCAAGACCATGAGGCCGCCCCTCCCCTCCAGAAAAGCACACCCCTTGGAAGGCAAGGCGCTTGTAACCTCGTTCGAAATTGTTTAGCAAAGGAAACCTCAAGGAATGGCACCAGAGTGAGTGCGACCTCTTTCAGAAGCCCTCCACACCTCTGAACACAGTCCCGCCACCCACCTTTTCCAACAGGTTGCAAAAATATGCCAGGCTAGGGAGAACTTGACCCGGGGAGAAACCCCCGGCTGTTCCCTACGGTTGTTTGATAAGCTGTTTATCTTGAATGGAATGCTGAAAAAATGAAAAATGAAAGCAGGCACAGAGAGGGAAAGGGGGTTGGGGAAAAACAATTGCACACATTACTGCCCAGCTCCCTACCATCTCTCTGTACACAGTACATCTGCCTATGAAATATGGTTCAGTTTTTAAACCTGGAAGCAGGGAGCATGCTGGGATTTTAGCTGAGAGATAGATTGAGGTCAAGCACCAAGATACCGAGCCGTTTCTATTACGCTCTGAAGGTACTGTGTGCTGCTCTCAAGAACGTGCAAAGGGTGTGTGTGTGTGTGTGTGTGTGTGTGTGTGCAGGAGAAATAAGGACTTACTTTTATTGGCAGGCCCATAAACATGGCAAACTCTCTCTCTCCCAGCGTTTAGATCCCTTTCTTATCAACATTTATTTGCAGAAAGACCGCAGAACTCCTAAATGTTGGGGGTGAAGAGGAAAACGGAAAGCGGTCCAGAGTGTTTAAAGACCCAACTGTACAGCCTGCAGTGGGATAAAAATACGCCAGAGTCTTGCCAGACGGGGTCTGACTGAGACCTTCGACCAAGCGGACTTCCACTGCATGCAGAAAAAGAAGCCTTCGCGATTTCTATTTCTGCAGAGGCTCTGCCTGCACCTCCAAATCCACACCGAGCCCTGCTCTAAAGTTATATGCATGAGCTCCCAAGCCCACATACAAAAGGATGCATCAACTCACACCTTTAAATGAACCTGACCATAAATGCACGGACAGTCGATACCCAAGTTCCCCTTAAATATGTCTTTTGAGCCAAGCCTTTGTGACCAACATTTAAAAGCATGCTGATAGATATCTGGGGCTGGAGTAAGAGCCACAGGAACAAAGAATGGCTTCTAATTAAACAACTTTCCTTTTTCTTAATGCCCCCCCCCCAATTCCTAACACATTGGAGAAGGATGCAGTGGCACAACTCACAGCTCCCGAGAGCCTAACCCGTGGACTTGAAACCAAAACGTCACAAGTTAGGGTCTCAGGGACAGAGAGGGGCGCATTCAATGATTTCTCACATGCCACAAAGATTTATTATTATTAGGGTTGTTGTCACTGTTGTTGTTATTATGCCTAATGCTCTTGTCTCCAAACCCTACATCAATCTATCCCAAGGCTGGGGGAGGCAGGAACGAAAGGAAAATAAAATACTAGGGGAAAAGTTGCCATTCAGGAGGTTAGAAAATTGTAACACAAAACACCTAAAGGGCAATACAAAAGCTTCTGCGGGGGGGGGGGGGGGGGG